CTCTCTCTCTCTCTCTCTCTCTCTCTCTCTCTCTCTCTCTCTCTCTCTCTCATGTGCGGGTGTGGTGATATTTTCAGATGCATTGTACTTGATCACTTCTGTTTGCTGGAAATTTGAGCCTGTCATCTCTTGAGACAGTAGCAGACTGACTGTAAATATCGTCAACGTTTTATCCTGGAGTAATAACAGATTTCGAGCCAGAGTTTCATTTCATGAATTTTTTTCAAAACTTTTATCAGAGACCTTCTGTAAACTTTTAAAACAAATTTTCATCCTGCGCAAAGTCCAACTTCCACCTCTCAGTCGATGAGATTCTAAACAATGAATTTTTTGGGCGCATCGAAAAATCATTTTGGAAGCGGAGAGGCAACTGCAGTAATTATTTGTAATCGAATCAATGTGAGGCGAAAACGGGTGAGATGAAAACAGGTAAGACGAAAATTATTTTAAAAAAAAGAAATGTTGAAAGAAAATGGGTCCTCCTGCTTGGCCGATGCAGTCAACAATGGCTGCAAGTGTACTGCGTCCGGTTTTGTTCATATTTATTATACGTCTCTGGGTACAAGTTGAAGGGGTCATGAAAAAAAACCCAACAACCCAGGAAAAGTTTATTTTTAGAAAACAAAGGGAAAAAAAGAAGCATAGCACACCACCCCCCCCCGAATTCTAGCTCTTAACATACAACAGTAACCCGTAGAATATCCCTTGGAAATCAATCAATTGAAATGAAAAATCATCCAAGTCATTGACAAACTGCATTTTTACAGCAGCAAATCAAGTTAAAATCAAGCCAGTTCCATCACAAAATGTTAACAATAGGGCAATATATAAGTCGTGGTAAGATTAGTACGTGTGGCATAGTCTGATTTTATTTTCACATGACCCCTTCAAATGTTTCTACGATATTCACTACATTTTTTCTGTTTTCATTCCAACGCCTTGCGAAGAAGTCGAAAACAACCCTTGACCTTCTGCAATAAATGAATAGGTGACCTGCGCCAAACAATACCCCCCCCCCCCCCCCATACACACACACAAACACATTCCCTCCCTGTTCAACCGGCCCCGAATGTCAGCATTAGGTCATACTGCCCTTACTGGTAACCTAACTGCACAAAAGCAAAAAAGATTGTATTTATACACATTCGGTCACGCTCTGGTCAGTTTGCTTGCAAACCTGTTAACGTGACGAAAGCCAGGAAAGCAAGCTTTCGGTGAATATGAAGGCACTGATACTGTAAGCCATTCATAATATGTTCGTCTAAATGGCTCCCTTAATGCAAAAGGGTAAGTTGCAAGATTGTTGGCATGGCCTATATAGGAGCGGATTAGCTTGCACTTCGGGTTGGACCTATAACTACTATAAGATTTCGTAAGGGCTGACGAAGCTATATGTAATTGAATCACTTCTCCTCCCTTCTCTTCTCTTCTCCCCCGTCTCTCTCTCTCTCTCTCTCTCTCTCTCTCTCTCTCTCTCCCCTCTCTCTCTCTCTCTCCTTCTTCTTCTTCTTCTTCTTCTTCTTCTTCTTCTTCTTCTTCTTCTTCTTCT